GGTGTGCTTCCAGATTTGGAGGACCTGCCCTGTGTTGATTGGTCAACTGGTTGTTATGGCCCATAGGCCCTCCCAGGGCGGTTGCTATGCTCTGCATGTCACTGTTGTGCACTGTCCATAAAACACATCCCAGAGCTGTAAAGCACAGCCCCGCCAGCTAACTTCTGATTGGTTCCTTACCACGAGGAGGGCATCTGACCTCCTAGTGACCAGGATAGGAGCGGCAAGGTCATGCAAGTACACGGTAGCCTGTCATGGTTGCTAAAATGGTGGGGCTGGTCACTTCAAAAGGGCATTTTGGTAGCTTTGAGTAGGGATAGGGGCAAGAGGAAGACAGCATGGCTTGAGACATGGGATAGGATGCATCAAAACGTTTAGCCTATCACTGCATAATGTCAGCCTATCAGCTTTGCTAAGAAGTGATTCATAGAGTCCATTTGTCACATAATGGACTCTGAACCATTTGTTCCTTCCCACCTACCAGACTGCACAGGCCTTTCTATTACCTACTCTGCCCATCCAGCTGCCTCTGGGAAAGACTCCCCTGATGGGAGATGCCATTCTGTAAATCTGTCTCTTATTGGTTGTTGAATAAAGCACTGTTGGCCAATAGGGAAGCAAGATAGGTGGGACTAGGAGTTGAGGAGGATTCTGGGAAAGAGAGAGACACAGAGAGACACCATGTAGGCTGCCAGAGGAGTAAGAGGGCTGGACCCTTTTCTCCGGTAAGAGATTAGATTAGATTAGATTAACAATTATGGCTTAAATACTTAAGTCAGAGCTAGCCAGTAAGAAACCAAGCAAACGGCCAACCGCTTTATAACTAATATAGTGTCCTGTGTATTATTTGGGGGTTCAGACAGTGCGGCAGGGCCCAGGCGACTGTCAGGGGAAGACTACACTCTACACTTCCCTATGTCCTGCTTTCCAAGACCATCAGGTGCTTCACTATACTCTTATTTCTTTGGAGATTCTCATTTCACTGAATAAATATGAGCATGTCCTTGGTATTTATGTCTGTGTCATTGCCTTCCCTTCATTCGAGTGAGAGCTTTCCTGGGGGATTACCATTGGCTCTATGTGTCCTTCAAGACAGCTTCTTTTTTCTGGCTGAGGGAAGCTTTCTTCCTTCCTTCCTTCCTTCCTTCCTTCCTTCCTTCCTTTCTTTCTTTCTTTCTTTCTTTCTTTCTTTCTTTCTTTCTTTCTTTCTTTCTTTCTTTCTTTCTTCATCTCCTTTCTTCCTGAGACAGAGTCTTATTTTGTAACCTAGTCTGGCCTGAAACTCACAATGTAGCCCAGGCTGTCTCAAATTCCTGTTGATCCTCTTACTACAGTCTTCAGAGTGCTGGGAGTTCTACCTAGGGTGTCACCTGTTACTAGGGAAACTGGTGTTCCCTTTCAGGGTTCTTAGTCACGTTAATGAAAGAATTTAAGATTTGACCCTCAAGGAAGCTCAACTACATTTAAAAGAAAAACAACAGGGGAGGCAAGCTGGAAATCTTGGCAGTTGCCAAGAAGAGGGGGGTGGAAAACAGGACAAGAGACAGCCATGCTGCTTGGGTTAAGTGATGAAGGATAGGCACACAGTAGACAGTAGCTGCATGACAAAAAAGATAGATTGGAGAGCTTCGGAGAAAAAGTAAGGAAGCCCAAAGTGCCAGCAAAAGCATCCTTGGGCTCTGGCCAGTATCCAAAAGAGAGAGAAGAGAAGAAAAGGAAAAGTCAGAAACCTCAGGGTGGCTCTCAAGTGACAGTACCAGTGATGGCTTTCTGGGAAGGAAAAGTCCATTATCTCATTAGAGAAATACTTACTTCCCCAGTCTCTTTAGGATGGTTTAACATGAATCTATTTCCTGAGGGATGATCCTTTAGCCAAGTAACTGACTGGTCCAATTGGATTTACTGTGCTTTTGGTGTAGCTTGGAATATTATTACTCCACCCAGGACCAGAAGCAAATGGCTTTCCATTAATAGGCCTCACAGAGCCAGAAAAACACCTAGTTATGAGGAACTCTTCAATGAGATTCATGTAGAAACCTGTTAGGTGCTGTATGGGTAGGCTTTGAGGCACACCCCCCCCTTCTCTATTTACTTCTCTGAATGGTCCCAAAGCAAGAATGAAGGTTCTGCAAAGGGGAGAAGGCCAGGGCCTGCTATAACTGCATGGAGGCTGAGCATGGTACCCAACCCTAGGTATTGTTCCTGTAGCAGAGAAGTAGAGGCAAGAGGACTGCTGCAAGTCTGAAACAATCCTGGGTTACACAGTGAGTTCTAGACCTGCCTAAAGGGGAGAACTTGCCTCAAACAAACAAACAAATAAATAAATAAATAAAGTGTGCTGTGTTTCGTGAAGCTAAATGCTTGTATCTATACCTATCCCATCAATCATCTGTCTGTCTGTCTGCCTATCTAGCTATCAATGAGGCAGGGTCTTAGGTAGTTCATGCTGGCTTCAAACTCACTATGTGGCCAAAGGTGACTTTGAACTCCTGGCTCCTTCCTTCTATCTTCTGAGAGCCAGGATTATAGACACCGATCAACACACCCACCTAAGTTTTGTTGTAGTTTTGCTTTACTTTTACATTTTATCATTTATTTAGTGTGTGATGGGCCATGAAACACCTGTGGAGGCCAGAGTTAGTTCTCTTCCTTCTACCATATGGGTTCTAAGGGTCGAACTCAGGTTGTTAGACTTGGCAGCAAGCACCTTTACCTATTGAGTCACCTCACCAACCCTAGATGCTCTTTATAGAGCATGCATGGTAAAAGGACATGTATTTCATAACAGGGTCTCCCTTATTCTACTTTACAGCTACACAAAGAGTTGTGATTTTCCACCTAGCAAAAGTTCAAAAGAACTGAGTGAACCTATTTCTGCAGGGCACAGTGACCCCGAGTCCTCCATGGAGAGCAGAATGGTTGCAGTAATATTGATTAAAAAAAACACACTTGTCTTAGAATGTTGATCTTTCATATTATTTTTAAATCTATATTGCTAAGACAGGCAACTGTTTAGAAAAAGGACTGATACACTACTGTAAAACACTTTCCACTGGAAACGATGCCTCTCGGTTCCAAAATGATGATTTGGAAGCTGCAGCATGACTCAGCAATCTCAACACTTAGAGCTGAGGCAGCAGGATCACTATTACTTAAAAAATGAAAAAGCCTGGGCATGGTGATTCATACCGGCAACATCCCAACACACAGGAGGTTGAGGCAGGAAGGTTGCCATGATTCAAGGTCAAGCTGGGATACACAGTGAGTTTGAGGACAGTCTGGGCTACAGAGCAAAACTCTCTACCTTCTTTCTCCTAAAGCCTATAAAAAGCCAACTGTAGGAGCTGGGGGTAGGGCTCAGCAGTAGAGTGTTAGCCTAATGTGTGAGGCCTTAGGCTTGATGCTGAGCCCTGAAAAAGACAGATAGGGATCAAGGAATGAAGAAACGAAGGGAGGGAGGGAGGGAGGGAGGGAGGGAGGGAGGGAGGGAGGGAGGGAGGCAGACCTCTTGTACTGGTTGGTAGTGTGTGTCATACAAGCTAGAGTCATCAGAGGAAGGAGCCTCAGTTGAGGAAATGCCTCTATGAGATCCAGCTGTAAGTCATTTTCTCATTTAGTGATCAATGGGGAAGGGCCCAGGCCATGGTGGGTAGTGCCATTTCTGGACTGGTGGTCCTGGGTTCTTTAAGAAAGCAGGCTGAGCCAGTCATGGGAAGCAAACCAATAAGTTTCAACCCCCCCCCCCATCCCATAGCCTCTGGGTTAGCTCCTACTTCCAGGATCCTGCCCTGTTTAAATTTCTGTCCTAATTTCCTTCCTTTGGCGATGAACAGCAACGGGGAAGTAAATCCCAATAAATCCTTTCCTCCCCAGCTTGTTTTTTGGTCAGTGTATTTCATTGCAGCGATAGCAACCCTAACTAAGATACCACTATAGGATACAATTATTTCTTATCTAATAGCTCACAGTTTTGTAACCCTCTGCAATCAGGCCTGTAGAAAAGTTTAATTCAAGACCCTTATCTTAGCCAGGCATGGTGGCACACTCCTGTCATCCTAGCACTTGAGAGGTGGAGTCAGGAGGGTCAGGAGTCAAGGCAGTCCTTGATTACATAGTGAGTTTGAAAACAGCCCGGGCTGCACAAAACCTCGTCTAAAAAGTAGGACAGTTAGCGGAACACTTGCCTAGCCCTGGGTTCGCCCTAACGCTGCTGACGCTGAGTGGTGTGTGTGTGTGTGTGTGTGTGTGTGCATGCGCAAGTCCAGTACTTAGAAGGTGGAGGCAGAAGCCTTAGGAGTCCAAGGTTAGCCTCCAACACATACAGAGAGTTCAAGCCTAGGCTACATGAAACCATGTCTCAAAAAAATTAAGTAGAGAAAGGTTTGGTTTTTGCAATCAAAGGGGATAGTGTGGAAAAAGTCAAGCAAATTTGTTAACAGTAGAAACAGAGTGAACCATGTCAGTCCTGAGGTGTTCCCATGTGATCTCAGTGGCATTTCAGGGTGAGCCTGCCCACTGCAGGTCACTGGGTTCTAGGAGCAGATAGCAATGTGAACCCTGAATTGACTTAGAAAAAGCTAATGATTATTTCTACCACTATTATTCACTTGGGTTTTCTTTAAAAATTTAAAAACTGTGATATGAATAATACTGTTCCTGAGAATCTATCACCTAATTGTTAGGTCAGAATGTCCCCAAAGCTGGCATGGAAGCACTTGGGAGGTAGAGACAGGAAGATCTCTCTGAATTCCAAGTCAAGCTGGTCTACATATCCAGTTACAGGATAGCCAGAGTTACACGGAGAGACCTTGTTTAAAAAAAAAAAAAAAAAGAAGGTCCCAAATCCTCTAGGGTTAGATGAGACAAAAAAGCAAATTCTCAGACCCAACCGTTCTGAATCCAATGAACTTAAATAAAAATTTTTGAGACAGAGTCATGTAGCTCAGGCTGGGCTCACAAAGATGACCTGAACTTCTAACCCTCCTCCACTCTCCTTCCAGGTGTTGGGATTACAGGCATGCCTCACCACTGGGGACATAGTCCAAGGCTTTGTGCATACTAGGCAAGCAGTCTAACTGAGCTACAGCTCTACCCCCGTCCAGGTGAGTCTGATATCCACTGATACTTGAGAACCACTGGTTTAGATAGTCCTTGTGTGTTAGTTTTCTTGTCACCATGAGTAGATACCTGATGCAAACAATCTGAGGAAAGATATATTTTAGATCACGGTTTTAATGGATCGCGAAGCCATGGTATGGTTTGTAGTGGCCTGACAATGGTGAAGGGTCCTTATGTCTCTGTGAATCACAAAGCAGAAAGCCTTGATGGGGAAAGTCCTTCTGCATACATGTTTCTCTTATTGGTTAATGAATAAAGCACTCATAGGCTGATTGGCTAGGCAGGAAGTGACAAAGCTGGGCAGAATCAGAATATAAGCAGGAACAAACAGTAACTCACTCCTTTTCTCCTCTCCTCTCCTCCCCTCCCCTCCCCCTCCCCTTCCCTCCCCCTCCTCTCTTCTCCTCTCCTCGCCTCTCCTCTTCTCTCCTCTCCAGAGATGCTGAGCAGACTTGATATAGACCCCAATGGAGTAAGAGGCCCTGACCTTTCTCTGGTAAGATAAGACCATGTGGAAATACTTAGATTTATAGAAATGGGTTAATGATTAAGAATAAGAAATCTTAGCTAAAGTTCAATAATTCCATAATTAATATAGTGTCTGTGTGTTTCTTTGGGATGGAGAAGGGCGGCAGGACCTAGCTGGACCAGAGAAACATTCTCATTATAAAGCTCAGGCTGGAGTCAGAGGCAGCTAGCTCTTCAAGCCTGCTCCCATTTCTGCTGACTAGTTCATAATCCCAGTGGTTTCACAACTTTACAAGCCAACACCACCAGTAGGGGACCAGTGTAAGAACACGTGAGCCTTCAGGGGACACTTCAGATCTGTCTTAGTTCTATTGATAGGAAGAGGCACCATGACCAAGACAACTCTTATAAATGAAAGCATTTCATTGGGGGCTGGCTTACAGTTTCAGAGGCTTAGTCCATTATCATCATAGTGGGGGCAGCATGGTTGCAGGCAAGCATAGCTCTAGAGAAGTAGCTGAGGGAGAGAGGGAGGGAGAAGAGGGGTGATTCAGGGTTGACATAAGATGTCTCGCTAAGTTGTGGCTTAAGGTTAATTATTTAGACTCTGAGGTCAGATAATTGATCAGATAACTCAGAGATGGGGAAATGAGTTTTAACCACTAATTCATACAATTTTAAGTCTACATAATACCGCACATGCATTGCTACTTAAAATATCTCAGAACTTGTTAGCATAATTTAAGTAAAAAATTAATTTGTTAACACAATCATACATTATATTTTAAATTATATTTATGATCCAGGAACCATATCAAATCCTTTTTTATACATTTTATTTAAATTAGAAACAACCTTATTTTACATATCAATCCCAGTTCCCTGTCCCTCCCAATCTCCCATGGTACCCACCCACTACCCCATCCCATCTCCCATCCACTCCTGGGGGAGGGGTGAAGCCTCCTATGAGGGATCATCAAAGTCTGTCAAGTCATTTGGGGCAGGGCCTAGCCTCTCCCCTGTGTATCTAGGCTGAGAGTATCCCTCCATGGGAAATGGACCCCCCAAGACTGTTCCTGCATTAGGGGTACATCCTGGTTCCACTGCCAGAGGCCCCATAGACTGCCCAGTGCTGCTAGCTGACACCCACATTCAGGGGACCTGGTTTGGTCCTATGCTGGTTCCCCACCTGTCACACTGGGGTCTCTGAGTTCCCACTTGCTCAGGTCAGTTTTGCTGTGGGTTTTCCCACTGTGGTCTTGACCCCTTTGTTCGTCACTCCTCCCTCTCTGAAGCTGGATTGCAGGAGTTTGGCTCAGTGCTTAGCTGTGGGTCTCTGCTTCTGCTTCCATCAGCTACTGGATGAAGGCTCTAGGATGGCATTTAAGGTAGTCATCATTCTCATTATAGGGGAAGAGCATTTAAGGTAGCCTCTCCACTATTGCTTAGGGTCCTAGTTGGGGTCACCCTTGTAAATCTCTGTACAATTCCCAAGTGCCAGGTTTCTCTTTAAACCCATAGTGGCTCCTCTATTGATGAGTCTCTTTCCTTGCTCTCCTCTATTCCTCCCCCCACTCTGTCTTCCGGATCCCTCATGTTCTCCACCCCCTCCTCTTCTTCCCTCCTCCTCTCTCCCCTCTCCCATACTCCCCATTTGCTCAGGAGCTCTTGTCCCTTTCTGCTTCACTGGGGGACTGTGTATGTCTCTCCTTCAGTCTCCTTGTTTCCTAGCTTTTCTGGAGGTGTGGATTGTAGGCTGGTAATCCTTTTCTCTATGTCTAATATCCATATATGAGTGAGTACATACCGTGTTTGTCTTTCTGTGACTGGGTTACCTCACTTAGAATGGTTTCTTCTAGTTCCATCCATTTGCCTGCAAATTTCAAGATTCCATTGGTTTTTTTCTCATTGTGTAAATGTACCACATTTTCTGTATCCATTCTTCAGTTGAGAGGCATCTAGGTTGTTTATAAGTTCTGGCTATTACAAATAATGCTGCTATGAACATAGTGGAACAGACATCCTTGTTGTATGAATGTGCATCTTTTGGGTATATGCCTAAGAGTGGAATTGCTGGATCCTGAGGTAGACTGATTCCCATTTTCCAGAGAAACTGCCATACTGATTTCCAAAGTGGCTGTACAAGTTTGCACTCCCACCAGCAGTGATTCCTCTTTCTCCATATCCTCTCCAGCAAAGGTTGTCATTGGTGTTTTTGATTTTAGCCATTCTGACAGGAGTAAGATGGTATCTCAGAGTTGTTTTGATTTGCTTTTCCCTGATGGCTAAGGATGTTGAGCAATTTCTTAAGTGTCTTTCAGCCATTTTAGATTCCTCTATTGAGAATTCCCTATTTAGTTCTGTATCCCACTTTTTAATTGGATTATTTGTTTTGATGACTTGCTTCTTGAGTTCTTTGTATATTTTGAAAATCAGTCCTGTGTCAGATGTGGGGTTGGAGAAGATCTTTTCCCATTCTGTGGGCTGCCTTTTTGTCTTGTTGACTGTGTCCTTTGCCTTACAGAAGCTTCTCAGTTTGAGGAGGTCCCATGTATTAATTGTTGATCTCACTGTCTGTGCTACTGGTCTTATGTTCAAGAAGTGGTTTCCCGTAGTTTGTTCAAGGGTACCACCTACTTTTTCTTCTAAGGCGTTCAGTGTGGCTGGATTTATGTTGAAGTCTTTAATCCATTTGAACCTAAGTTTTGTGCATGGCAATAGACATGGATCTATCTGCAGTCTTCTACATGTCAGCCTCCAGTTATGCCAGCACCATTTGTTGAAGATGCTTTCTTTTTTCCATTGTATAGTTTTAGCTTCTTTGTCAAAAATCAGGTGTTTGTAGGTGTGTGGGTTAATATCAGGGTCTTCAATTAAACTCCATTGGTCTACCTGTCTATTTTTGTGCCAATACCAAGCTGTTTTCATTACTATAGCTCTATAGTAGATGCCTCCTGAAGTTCCTTTATTGTGCAGAGTTCTTTTGGATATCTTGGGTCTTTTGTTTTTTCACATAAAATTTCTTTTTTTAATGATGCAAAGTTCTTGTCATACAGGTCTTTTACTTGTTTGGTTAGAGTTACCCCAAGATATTTCATGTTTGTGGCTATTGTAAAGGGTTATATTTCTGTTTTCTTTCTCAGTCCCTTTATTATCTACATATAGTAGGGCTACTGACGTTTTTGAGTTAATCTTGTATCCTTCCATTTTTCAATTAATTTGCAAAATCCCTATATGCTTTTATTATCTCATACAGCTAAGTAAATTGGGATATAGATATTTTTAGTAGCCTATTTGAGGTCACACAGAGAGGCAGTGGCTCTGTAATCCATATTCTTATGCACCATATTCAAACACCTTTCTAAATTTGTGCTCATAAATACAGTTCACTAAGGAGTCTTCTCTGTGATTAATTCACTATTCTTTGTCATTCTAGGAAGAAAATTAAGTAGTGCTGTACTGTGGCAGGAGCCCTGGAATCTTGGTCTGTGTATAGGTTCCAAATAAGGTTCAAGTATGGCACAGCCATCTGAGCTTTAGTGTTTCTGTTGGGGGGAAGTCCTGTGCATTTGTCAATAAAGCACTGCTGGCCAATAGGGAATCAAGATAGGTGGGACTAGGAGTCCAGAAGGACTCTGGGAAGGAGAAACACAGAGAGTTGAGATGTAACGCCATGGGGTAGGAAGCCCGGAAACTTCTCTGGTAAGAGAAATACTTAGATTAACAATTATGGGGTAATTACTTAAGTCAGAGCTAGCCAGTAAGAAACAAGCAAGGCCAACAGCTTCATAATTAATATAGCCTCCTGTGTGTTTATTTGAGACTGATGCGGCTCTAGAACCAGGCTGGCAGGAAGGCTTCTCTCAAGGAAAAAGCTTCCCTTTACATGCTTCTATCTGCAAGGTGGGTCTAATGGCAGACATCCTACCTCTTCTGTGGACAGTCCTAAGTGTTGGGCAGTGCTTCATACGTTATAGAATGGTAGGTGGTGTGGGATGAAAGCACTAAAACTGAAGGGACAGACCTCTATCTTTTTAAAAGAAAACATCTCTATATGTCTATCTTTAGTTTTGGTTTGTTTTTTTTTTTTTTTTTTTTTTTTTGTTTTTTGAGACAGGGTTTCTCTGTATTGTTTTCGAGGCTGTCAGTCCAGCCTGGCCTCGAACTCACAGAGATCCGCCTGCCTCTGCCTCCCGAGTGCTGGGATTAAAGGTGTGTGCCACCACCGCCTGGCTATCTTTAGTTTTAAAAAATTATTAAAAAAAAACAAAGTTCATATCCTAGGTATAAGTTTTTTCTTCTTTTCTTTCTCTCTCTTCTCTCTTTCTTTCCTTCCTTTCCTCCCTCCCTTCCTTCCCTCCTTCCTTCCATTTTGAGACAGTGTCTCACTATATAGCCCTAACTGACAGGGGAATCACAGAGATCTACCTACCTCTTGATTCCTGGGATTAAAGGCATACACCACCACACTAGTATTTGATTTTCTTTTCTTTTTCTTTCTTTTTAGTTTTTCTAGACCTGGCTGTGATGTGGGAGGTCCTGTGATTATGTCAATAAAGCACTGTTGAGCCAATAGGGAACCAAGATAGGAGGGACTAGGAGTCTAGAAGGACTCTGGGTAGGAGAAACATACGGAGAGTTGAGATGTAACGCCTTGGGGTAGGAAGCCCGGAAACTTCTCTGGTAAGAGAAATACTTAGATTAACAATTATGGGGTAATTACTTAAGTCAGAACTAGCCAGTAAGAAACAAGCAAGGCCAATAGCTTCATAATTAATATAGACTCCTGTGTGGTTATTTGGGACTGATGTGGCTCTAGAACCAGGCTGGCAGGAAGGCTTCTCTCAAGGAAAAAGCCTCTCTTTACATGGCTGTCCTGAAACTCAATCTGTAGGTCAGGCTGGCTTCAAGCTCAGAGATCCACCTGCCTTTGCCTCCTGAGTGCTGGGATTAAGGCATGCACCACCATCACCCAATTATATTTGATTTTCTTATAGATTTGTTTACTTCATGTGGGTGTACACTCAAGTGGTACCATTCTCTTCTTCTACCAGGGTGATTCCAGGAATCAAACTTACGTTGACCAGCTTGGTGGTAGG